GGAGTGTTATCGCGATTAGAAGTGTTTGTCGCTAGCTAATAAACAATTCAAGTCCTAATTAGATACAAATGTGCATCTTTTCATGATACATAGGAATCTTGTGCGTTTGCAAACCCAGAACTGACGTTTAGGATCCAAACCGACGCGTTCCTCAACCGGTGAGTTCATACCCCTACTCTTTTTCAAATGTTTTCAGGGGGGAATACAAGCAAAAGTACAAGGAAATCTTATACTTCAATTTATTATTTTCTATTCAAATGTTTTATATTTTGAATACTTTTAATACCGAAAATCATACTAACCATTTGTTTGAATTGCATAGTGAATTGTCAAGCTAAATGTAGATTCCTTTAATAGATGTTATAATCTAAGTTTCATATTATGTTTTATAAGGAATCATACTAATCATAAACTAAGATTAATACTAATAGGATAGTACGAATACGAATACGAATAAAACTAATAGTATAGAACGAATACGAATACGAATACGAATATAACCAATAGAATACAACGAAAACGAATACGAATACGAATAAAACTAATAGTATAGAACGAATACGAATACGAAGACGAATATAACCAATAGGATAGAATGAAAACGAATACGAATACAAATATAACTAATAGGATAGAACGAATACGAATACGAATATGAATATAACTAATAGGATACAACGAATACGAATGCGAATACGAATGCGAATACAAATACGAATACGAATAGGAGTAAGAATAGGACTAGGAATACAAATACGAATACGAAATAACGCCTTTGGATGACGCCAAGACTTCGAATATACAGCTAGTGTACACCTTGGGTGCCACCAGAGTTTCAAAATTAATTTGACAGTACCCCTCTGGACATCGACTGTCGATAGAGCTTCGAAAATACATCTAAGGTACTCTTTTGAAAATCACCAGAACTTCGAAAACACTGTTAATGTACGCTTCTGAGTGAATCCAAATATTCAAAAATACCTCTAAGTATAGCGGATAATCAACAATCGAATGTAGGATAACTAAGATATCAGAATACTTAACTAATACTATATGTAAGGTAGTTACTAGTACATCGAAATCTAAACTACTAATTAAGTATCAAAAGGACAGCTAAACACTTAGGAAAATATGGGATTTTCCTGGAATAACGTAACAACTCGTAAACGAATTAAGTAACAAAATGAAAACTAAACTATTTTTACATAAGAAAATATGGGATTTTCTTGGTCGTAACATTTTCAGAAACCATAAGGAAACTCGTACATTTTCACAAAACAAAATTGCTTATGAACTCACCAGCTTTATGCTGATTTTCAAACTGCTTGTATTCTCAGGTCAGCATTAGACAGGTACACTGCCACCTTTTGGAGAAGACGGGGTGTTAGAAGACTCGTCTTTGTTTTTGTTCATATGATATATGTATATAACACTTGTATAACTTTTCTTTCAAACAGATGTAAACAATTCTATGTAATGTAATGTTTTGTGTTTACTATGTTACTATGTACATTGGATTTGATACTCAACGTGGAGTCCGCCCCGGAAATGTTTCCGCCTTCGGTTTTTGGGGTGTGACATTAACAAGTCTTGAAGTAGATGGTATGCTGAAGATGTTTGAATGGAGGTTTTCTTCGAAAGTTTATGGCATGATTTAGGATTTTGAGTCTCGTCTTCTTGAGAAAATTGACAATTTTGATCAGAATAATGAGCTGAGGGTCAATGCTCAGAAATCTACATTTAATGGTGATTTGAAGTTGTTAAAGTCAATTGCGAAGGAAAGACATGTTTTGTGTAGGGTTTCAAAGCACTCCATGGATGATGGCAATGGACCCCTTTGATGAATTCTAGGTTAAAAGCCCAAGACTTGTCTTTTCCCTATAAATAGTCATGTATTATTCACAATTAGGGTTAAAAAGAGTGAGGCAAAATGTAGCCGCCACGTTGTGAGGTTTCTTGTAGAGTTAGATTCTTATTTCTTAAGTGTAATTTGTTCCTCACAATTCAATAAATCGAGTGATCATTCGACATAATCTTCATATTTTTGTTTGTTCTTATTTTCCGCATCTTGTTCATCAAATCTCAATTAGGGTTTTAATCCCAACAAGTGGTATCAGAGCGGGTCTTTGAAGATTTATTGATTTTTGAAGTATCGGTTCTTGATTTGGTGATTTTCTGCACATATATTGAAGATTGTTGATGTTGTGGCTGTATAGAATCAAGATTTTTGTTCTTGTTACTGTTCATGTAGATTATAATGTTCATCTGGTAATTTTTTTTAAAATCTGATTTAATCTGATTCATTCTTCTGTTCATATTGGATCTGGTCGTTAGCTTAATCCAAAAAACAATTGACGTTAATCTTCTATTTTGATCCAATTTGATCTATTCAAATCTAATTTTGATCTGGCCCATATTCTTGGCCGATTCACTGTTCATGGTCCACATGCTTATTGCCGATCCACTTTTTATTCCTTGGTTGTATGCATCTTTTGCATCCAATATCGTATTCTGTTCTAATTCGACATCGATGATTCTTGTGTTTGAGGTTAATGGTTTTCGACATGTGTATATCAATTCTCATGAATCGATTTTTTTTAAGTTTTAATCCAAGATCATATTGTTCGTCAATTTTCTCGTTCCTGTTCTTATAGTCAATTTAATCTCATTATTATTAATTTGATTAACGTCAAACTTGAAAATTTCTGATGATCTACGAGTGAAATCGATCTTTGAAGAATCAATTTGGTGTCTGATTTAATGTAAATCTCGATGTCTGATGATGAATGGACGAAAAAATTGTATTTTGATTTGGTGAGTCAAACCATAGAAAGTCAAAATTGGAATTTATGATTTCACCTGTGAATTTAGTCGATACAAACATCATGTGAATTGTAATCATCATTCCATTTGGGAGGATTTGGAACTTGAACAGGATTGGGTCTTCATAAACAGGTTCGCTGTGTAAAGGGTCTTGGAATCGGGGCTTAAATCAAAATCGGAAGTGTGGCTCATACTGGATTGGAACGTAGTCGATGTGATTGTGCTTGGAACGAAAGAGGGGAGGACCGAAAGCGAACCTGTGATTGGATTCGGTTTGCTAAGGTTTCACTTTTATTCGCATCTTGATGCTCGGACCGAACATGGTTTCGGTTTTGTATCCATGAACATGGAATGAACTTAGGTTCATTTGTTAGCGTCGGAACGAAAGTGTAAACTCGGGTGTTGAGATGGATTCACACTGATTTGCAATTGGCACTTCAATTGGTTGAATCGGATTCGGAATTGAAATCAGGGCTTGGACTCGTTTTGAATGTTTACCTGCGAAAGCTCTCAATGTCCGAAGAAAAAAAAACGAACGTGTAACTGGATTCGGATTTACCTGTGGTTCGCATCTAGAACGGGATTCAGAGTCGCAAATGGGATGTTCGGAAGAAATTACTTTGATCGGTGTTATTGATTTATTGGAATCGGATTTATGGTTACGTTTGGGAATACTCGTATAAATCGTTGTTTTTAATCGGTCGTGTTTGTCCCTGCATTCGTTTGATCAGTCGCGTGCTTTAAATCAAGGGTAAAATGGTGAAGATGACTCAAGTTACAATTCTGGTCCCTAAAACTTCGGTGATTTAACAGTTCAACTCCCTGTATATTTCATGACTTGGCAGTTTTGAATCATACTCTAAAAGTGTTATAATTAAAAGGGAATTTCATGAAGAGTTACATTTCCATCCCCTGTCTTTCAGCAAGTGACAGTTTCGGCCTAATATTCAGAAAAGTTTACTACTTTTAGGGCTGGTGAACAGTTTTGGATTTTTTAACGCACATATTTTTTTCGTAAACAGAAAAATATGGATTCCATCAAGTCTTGGCGGTTCGGAAAGTCGTTTTTCGTGATAACGTCAAATTTTTACGATTTTTTTGGATTTTATACTTCATTGTGTATATTTTTTTGTCGCGGGGGAGCTTAGTAAATTTTTATCCATTCAAGATCATTCTCATGACCATTTGAAGGCTTTATAATCATGTTTTTGATTATAAATCGGGGGAGAATTTGGTATGGCCATTCGAAATTGGATTTGTGACTTTTCAAAGTTGAAGATTTTTGATAAAGCTTATGGTAGAATTATGAAGGTAGCTTTTACAGCGGAAGTTCTTCATCGAGCTCTGCTAAAGCTTTTACACAGAAGTATCCTTTACAGCGGAAGTTCTTTATCGAGATCTTCTAAGGACTTGTTATATCTCCGACTTCTTGTATTTTCTCGATCAAGTGGCGTTACGAATCATAAAGTTTGGGTTGTTACATGATATTTTTTGATGGCTTATATCATTAGCTTATTTGAAGATCATTGTGACTTGGAGGGGGAGCTCTTCAAAGACAAGAAGTGATTCGGCTTCTTTGTTCTGAAATGGGTTTTTATGGCGGGTTTGGTTTTCATGAAGATTCTTTGGGATTACATTCGAAAATGATGTTTAAAGACATTACTTCAGTGCCTGATTTATATATCCTAGAGCCCGTGTTTGAAGACTATTGAAGAATCACGATTCGTGGATTGCTTCATATATTCCTCGTTGTAGATCTTTTTATTTTCTAGATGCTTGTTTTGGAAGTTAAAGCATTATCATCCATTCCATACTTTGAGGGGGAGATTGTAGGGTTTCAAAGCACTCCATGGATGATGGCAATGGGCCCCTTTGACGAATTCTAGGTTAAAAGCCCAAGACTTGTCTTTTCCCTATAAATAGTCATGTATTATTCACAATTAGGGTTAAAAAGAGTGAGGCAAAATGTAGCTGCCACGTTGTGAGGTTTCTTGTAAAGTTAGATTCTTATTTCTTAAGTGTAATTTGTTCCTCACAATTCAATAAATCGAGTGATCATTCGACATAATCTTCATATTTGTGTTTGTTCTTATTTTCTGCATCTTGTTCATCAAATCTCAATTAGGGTTTTAATCCCAACATTTTGTTTATTCAATATGTGAAGAAGGTGAGAGAAGATGTCAATTACAAACTCCAGGAACAGCGCCAAGATATGGAGAAAGAGATTGCAAATGTCCGTACTGAATTTTCATTCTCTAAATCAAAAGGTGGATATCATCTGCGATGTTGTTACTAAATTCGCAAAGTTTTACGAAAGTTTGAGTCCACAAATTACTCAACTTTCTACAACTGAGAATAAAAATTCCATGGAGGTTTTTTCAATGCTAAAGGAGCTAAAAGCTTTATCTTTTGCACCTAATTCGTCTTCTTTACTTTCTTCTGAAGATCTTATCAACAAATTTTCCAAATTCGAAGGCTTACTTCTTCAGCAGTTGGATCTTCTTTCCAGAATATCAAGCCTTCTTCCTACCATAGATGCCCCACCTGGTAGCACAGGGGTGCAAGGGGGAGAAAAGAAAGTTGAAGGTACGAAGGCTAGTGGCGAAGATGCAAAGGTTGTGGGTAAGGTGTTTCCTTCCAAAATTCCAACTTGAAAACCAGTGATAGCAACTGCTGGTCATATCACTTCTACAATTGTTATAACTATGCCAATTACAAGACCAATTTCAAAAGGAATTGTGACTGGTAAATCTATTGACACTGGTAGAAGAGAAGTGATAGAGTAATCAGGTTTGAAGGCAAGGCGAAAGTCAATTTTAATTGAAAAATCTAAAGATGAAAAGAAGGCAGAGGCTGAAGCAAAAGTTGAGAAGATGAGGATAATACAAATCTAAAGATGAAAAAATGCATAAGGATCTAAAGATGAAAAAATCTAAAGATGATAAAATTCATAAAGATCTTAGAGGACTAGTTTCAAAAGATTTGGGATTCTCATAATAGAAGGAACAGAACTCAGAAGAAGACAAGAGATGAACTCGCATTACCGTTTTGGATTTGAATTCCGATATGAACTTCGTAACACACTTGTTTTTGGACATAAACTCCAAGATATGATAATTGAAAATACTCTGATCTAACTATATCGGTTAGAAGCTTCAAAAGATGAGGAAAGCTACACAACATAAAATCTAGAAGAATAGGTTAGACGAAAAGATACGTATGATGATCCTATATTTCTGAGAGGAAATGATTATGAGGATAAATGAATTTAACATTGGAATTATTTTACTTTCTAATGTTTCCATTAGAGAGTACAAACCTCATGGAAGAATTGTGGATAGGGCATCATCATTCCCATTTTGTTCAAACACCCATTAAATTTGGTTTCGTTGAATGCCTTAGTAAAGACAACAACAATTTCATCATCAGATGGAACAAAATTGAGTTTGATGTTTCCTTTTCAAACATGATCTTTAATGAAATGGTACTAAATATCAATGGGATTTTCCATGGAGTGTTGAATTGGATTGTGAGCAATTGTAATTGCACTGTGACGGTCAAAATAGACTGGAATCCGTTGAAATTGATACCATAGTCCAGAAGTTGAGATTTCATCCAAAGAACTTGTGAAGTGTAGCTTGCAGTAGCAATGTATTCTTCTTCGGCTATTAAGAGAGCAATATGGTTCTGTTTCTTGGATGACCAGCTAACGAATCTTCCACCCAAAAATTAACAACCACCAGAACTGTTTTTTCTATCCAATTAAAGACCTCCATTGTTTGAGTTGGAATATGACTGAAAAATTAAACTTTCATTTGCCAGATACCAAATTATGTGGTTCTTTGTTCCTTTGAAATATTGGAATATTTTCTTAACAGCCAGAAGATGAGACATCTTCGGATTAACTTGAAATATAGAATTGCCTCCAAGCGAGCCACTAGAGCATAGACTTTAGTGTAATCAAGACCCTCGATCTGTCTGAAGCCACGAACAACCAACCTAGCCTTATGTCATACAATTACCCCTGAATCATCCTGCTTATTACGAAAGACCCAACATGTGTCACGAGAATTCTTACCCTTGGGTAACTCAACCATCGTCTAAACCCCAAGCTTTTCAAATTGATTCATCTCTTCATGCATAGCATCTACCTAGCTGGGCTCATTCAAATCCATGTCTACATTCTATGGCTCATTTTGTGAGATAAAGCAAAAATAGACACATGTATTGACATCTCCACTCTAACTTCTTGTTTTCACACCATCGCCCAGCTGGCCAATGACATTCTCGGTCGAATGATTGTATTGGGGATCTCCTGGCTGATATCATTGAGTGAAACGGAAAGATTATGAATGTGGATAGCTCCATCATTTGCTGAGGAATCCACTACAGAAGAATCAGTCTCATTAGATGGATTTGCCACAAACTCATTAGCAATTTATTCAGGAAAAAGAAGTTCTATAAAAGTTTGACTAATAGCAGAAGCATATCTGGTCATGAACTCCCTTTTAACAAGAGTATGAGGTGTAGCATCAGCATCTGGAGCAGTTTGTTGACTTGAAGATTCTGGAGAAGCAATTGGAACAGATGACTCCACCGAAGGATTAATAGAAGAAACCATTAGCGGTATGTAAACAACCTCTTAATCTTCCTCTTCAATTACATTCTTTGAGCTAGAAGTAGAACTAGATAGGTCATCAGATGACACACAAAAAGATTTGCATAATGATGTGTAGTCGCACAACAAATCAGGGCCCACTCTAGCATCCGTTTCATTTTCCTCCAACCAACGCATATCAAAGGATTCCACAATTTGCTTTGTCTTCTTGTTGTAGACCCTATATGCAGTGCAAGTAGTATACCCCACGAAATAACAGTAATCTGCTTTGGCATTAAATTTAGGGTTGGACTCCAGGTGAAGAAGGGTGCATGGGAAACCAAATACACAGAAGTGGCTGACTGATGGATTGTGTCCATGTTGAATTTCATATGGAGTCTTCATATGGGCTTTGTTGATCAAGATGCGATTTTAAACATAACATGCAATGTTGATCCCCTTAGCCCAAAAGAAGACAGGAAGCTTGGAATTACAGGGCATCGTCCTTGCAGCGTCTTGCAATATTCGATTTCTCCACTCAGCAACAACATTTTGTTGGGGTGTCTGAGTGGAACTATATTGACGCACAATTCCCTTTTCAGCACAAAAATGATGAAGAACTGCATTCTTGAACTTTGTTTTGTTATCAGTTCGTAGCGCCGTCACCCAGTGGTTTGTTTGATTCTCAATTATCACAATAAACTTCTTGATCAGATCAGCATTCCCAGCTTTGTTGGATAAGAAGAAGACCCACGTAAAACGCAAGAAATCATCTATCACAACCAGACAGTATGAATTTATGTTGATGCATAGGACATTGACCATACTAAATAAGTCCATGTGCAACAATTGCAGCACCTGACTGATTGAATTAACCTGTTCTAGAAAATGTGGTTTTCTGTGATGTTTTCCCTAGGCACATGACCCACATTTTTCAAAAGTTATGAAGTCTCTGACTGGAAGACCACGGACCATTTCATTTTTTGCAAGACGATTCATCTTCTTTGCATTGGCATGCCCGAGTCTTCGATGCCACAACATAGCATTTTGTTCAGAGACTTTTGAAAAGAGGCAAGTGACTTGATCAGGGATGTTGCTATTGATGTCAATTATATAGGCATTTCCATCCCGCTTTGATTTAACAAGAATCCATTCTTTTAAGTTGTAAGGGTAGTTTGGTTGTAAAGAGTCGAAGTCTTGTATGTTCTCTTCGTATGTTTTGATATCTATTTTACTAAGGCATTTTATACGAAGCTTTGATGTCTAGTACATAGTATATTTTTTGTATGCTTTTACTCTCCTATAAATAGGAGTCTTTACTAGAGTTAGATAAGGTTTTTACAGTCTTTTCTACTTTTCTACTCTGTAAACCTAAAGCGTAATATTGAGCTGAATCACAATCTTATTTACATCGGTGTTCAATCTTTTATTCAATTTCTGATTACTTACTCTGATTAAGATATGTGACAACCATCAAAATTCGATTCGGTTCTAGATTTGACTAGACTTAGTTGCACATATAGGCACTACACACACTAGATTTAGTAACTGGAAGCTAAGTTATAACCTACTAGAAACGTGGAAACATTTAGAATCAAAGGATAGTGTACTTATATTTCACATTGTTATGTGAATTCTACATTTACTGAGCTGTAGTGACTATCCATATTTAGGTCACTCTTTGACTCGAACAACATTTTATGAATCATATACACACATCATGCACTTGACCTAGTAGTAGAAATTAGGTCAAGTCACATAGAAACTTAAGTCAAAGTTGAAGACTAGGAATAGTATACTTGATTCCTCAATTTCGCTTGAATCTCGGAATCACTATATAGAATGTCAATAAACCGATAAAAATAAATTACAATCATTATTTCTAACTTGAATAAGAGTTAGAAAACACAAAAATAATTTGAAGTCTCAAAATTTAATTAATTTTGATATCCAAGACTTACAAACTCTCAAAAACCCTAAATGCCCTAAAAACTCATACTCGCAAACTTTAACCTTAAAAATTCTGTAAAAATAATTATGAAGCTTCTAATATTATCTTATAATAATTAAAATTATAAAAGTTCATTTAAGCAAATAAAATTGAACTCATTAACAATTACTCTTAATTTATAAGTCAAAAACCAAGAGTTTTATGCATAAAAACTAGGTTAAGGTGCACACTTTATAAAAAGTTGGATAATTTTTATAAAAGATTTGAAATTTTATGAAGAAAAATGAAGGAAAGAGGGATATTATACCCTCAAAATTTGGATTCCCCTCTCTCTCCTCTTCCCAACACACTCAATCAATTCCCCCCTACACTCCATCTTCTCTCTCACTCTACCCCTCATTCTCTATCACACTCTTCATCATCACCACTCCATTTCTCTCTTCATTTCTCCATACTCACGAAATTTTCCAGAGAATAAGTCCAAGAACACACCTCATACTTAAAATCTTCATCATCTAATGGTGTTCATTAAGGTAGAACACGATTTCCTTTCATTTTCCTTCAAGTTTTCATGGATTTTCTTGCATTTCTTTGTTCTTCTACACCATTCTAATGAAAGATCATGAACACATAAACATACACACACACAAAATCACGATTTTGATGATGATGGTGGTAGGATTTCACCCAAAAACAACATGCATGTTGTTAATGGTGAAATCCAAGGACCAAAACCTAAGTCAAAATCAACATAATGCCCCTTTATACAAGTTTTGGGTAAAAATCACCACATGCATCCAAACTTTTCTATCAAAAACGATTTTTGAACATTTCAAACTCATGAATGGCCTTCAAAACAACATGCATGTGATGATCTTCAAGTTTAAATGCTTGATGATCAAAGGTGTTGTTAAAAAGCTTTCAAATATGTTAATGAAAGATTTATTTCCAAATAAATATCTAAAAATCATTTTCTAACAAAATCCGATTTTTCCCAGATTCTCATCAACAAAATAAGATGCTCTGTAAATTTCCAAAAGATAATTCATTTTCCTCAAATTATTATAATTAATGCAATAAAATAGGGCAATAAATTATATAAAACA